TTTGTCGCCTTTATCATCGAAAACAGACGATGTCCGTTTTCTTCATGCGGCTGCTGTCCTAACTAAGGTGTTCTGGTTGGCCATGTTCTTCATTCCATCTAATCATGAAGACTGTAGGATTGTTCATTCCCTTTAATCATCAGTGCCAGCGGGGAGGAATTTCCTGGGAGAATCAACCCCATCTGATTAATCTCCACCGTTAAGTTAAATTAACACCATCTGGTTGTGATTCTCCACGTTTTCCTGCTTGGATCTCAGAGAGCGGCGACTTTTTTCCTCTCCATCAGTCTCAGTCGGCTTTTGATGAAAATTTTGGACTTTTCGAAGATGCAAGATTAGTTAAAATTTTATTTTGTTTGGTTAAAAATTATTTAGGAAGCTTTTCAACCATGTTAAAATGTAAAATTCATTCTTTACTGAGTTAAGAGTTTAGGATTTAGTTTAGTTAATTTTGATCAGTTGCTGTTCTATCCAGTACCAGTGGAGTTCTCTCTATGTTAATGATAAGATGTTTAGGGAAAATTTTAGGTTGTCTAAGTAGTAGAAATAAAATCTAGATAATGTTCTGACATAGATGTTTTCTGTTCCCTTTCTGCTATGAAGTAAAATTTTAAGGAAGAAATTAATTTGTGCAATAGAAAATTTATACATCACATAGCTTCCGGTTATTGTACAATTAACAGCAACTAGGAAACTTTTGTTAGAATGATTCTCTGCTCATTAAATTCTGTACTCAAATTTTCATCCGGTCTGTCCTTGCAATATTATGTTATTAGTAAATTGTGTTATGATTAATTAATTGCTTCAAAATCTTAAAGTATTCATAAATATCTTGTGTTAATATAATTATTGATCATTAAATGGTTATACTGTATGTTAACGAAATTGTTTAACTGGTTTTATCTCCCATGGGAGCGTTCTTATTTAACTAAATATAATAGCCACAGTATGCTCCAAGATATTTAACCTATTTGATGAAATACTACCTTGGTAAAATAATTAAATTCATATTTTTATTATTAGATGAATTTAATGATGTATTTTATTTCTCATACTATGTATGATTACACCTGACAACACCAGTTCATATTTTCATTTGAAATAAGAGTTGTTCGAAATTTTAAACACAACACCATGCAAGGTTTTAGTTAGGTAAGGATTTTAGGAAAATTTAATTTGGTGTTTTGGTGTCCTCTTAAAAAGCGCCAGAACTTTGTGGCTAATCTCACTTTGCCTGATTTAATAAGAACAAGCCTACAGATTTTATTGTGGCAAGGAGTGTAAGACTGCATCTGGCGTTGGCATGAGTCTCTAGCATCATGTAGGGCACAATATAACTTTACCCACTTCCACCCACCCCCAGTTTTAAAGGAGAGCAGCCCGGAGGACTGACCACCAAATTCCTCGAGGGCAATGGCTATATCTTTTGAGTGCTGCCATGCCTCGAAAATACTTATCACTTACAAACTTCCATGTCTTCTCCGGGATTTCCATAGCCTTGTGGTACGGCAATCAGAATCACTAACTACTGTCACGGCCAACTGATCGAAGGTCCCGAAAGTCACGCTACTGTTCTATCTGGCTGGACATAATAAATGTTTTAATAGTGTATTATTTTTAGCAAATATCAGTTTTCTTTCGAACCACTGAGGGAAAAATAATCGAACTATGAAAAAAGACTCCAAAAGAAAAGACTTGAAAAAACACTTCGTCATAACTTAATAAGTAATATTTATTTATTTCCTCTTGGAGTATATATTTGATTGACAATAAAATATTTGACATTTTTTCTTATTTTAGTAAAATTCTTTAAACATTAAACACGATCCTGGCAAATTCTTTTCTCACTTCTAATGAAACCAGAAACAAGTCTTGATCTTAGAAGCATTTCTATTAAATCCCATTTTTCTGTCATATTCCAACTCCACGTCCACATTCTAGTCATTTCTGGCCATTGATCAGAAGTACAGCAGATGAACAAAACCGAAGTTCTCTCATCTCACACCGGAAATGAACGTTTATGATGGGGAATGCTCCACAAAACTTCCAGGAATGTTGGCAATCTATTTTTGGATGTCCGAATCTCAAAATGAAACTTCTAATACCAGACACTATAATAATTTTGTTACAATTTAATTTTATATGATCACTGATTTCTTGTATTTTTATTGTTCTTGTAGATAAGTAAAGTTAAAAAATGGAAACTTGAATGATTTCTTTTGTAGCAAATATTTGTAAAGAATTTTTGCGCAATTTCGAAAGAATGCTTTCACTTTTATGTGAATACTGTAATGAAGAATGAAGAATATTAATAGCCCCACTGTTATAACATTCAGTTAGATATCAAGAATCCTAGATTTTATTTTCATGAATCGAGTGCTTTTCATGTTAGGTATTTTAACGCGTACTTCGTAAAATGCAGTCCGATCAGTCCTCTTTCATTATATTTAGCTTAAAAGAGCGTTAGCCTGAAAAGACTATAAGTCTCAAAATGGAATTTTGCGTTGAATCACTATGAAAGTTTGAATCACTTTTAAAATTTTTGCCACCAAATATTATCGCCCTGTAATATGTTTAAAGCAATTAAATAATGAAGAATTTGCATCAATGTAGGCAAGATTTTCGCTTTGTGGAAAAGCGACGATACCTAGAGCTATCAAATTTTGAATGATGTATTCCTCCACCCGAATATGGACATCTGGAAGCCCAAGTTTTGAATTTCGAATTTTCTTATTGTGTAGTTCATATCTGTAAAACTTTCACGAAATTTTGATTAACTAACTCAACGATTTCAAAGTGAGCAATGGCAACATTGTATGAAAAAAATATTTTTGCCTCTAGCACGCGAGAATATTTATCGGAAATTCTAAAGACAGGCTGTTTTTAAATACTTTTAATCAAAAGTATTTATTTTGCATCTAGACTGGCCCTTCGGTATCTTCGGTATATACTATATATATAGGATAATATTCATGAAAATTCTTTATTGCTTTTCCATAGATTTCTGAAATTTAGGATTAGCAATAAATGGAATAGCAGTAATTTAATAATGCGATTTGTATTAGCATGTCCTTTTACCCTAATAAAGTATTTTAGTTTAATATTAGCTGAATAAAGCTGAATAAGTTACATATTTTCTTTTAAACAAATAAATTCCAGTAATCCGCAATTCCCTTCAGACCTCCTAAAGTTAAAAATTGCAACAAAAACATCAAAAGGGTGATGTCAGTATAAAGAATGTGTACGTTTTATGTACTTTACATATATTGCCGATATGCGCCTTCTTGTTGACGAGTTGTCATGGACTTTGCATACATTTCTCTCGTTTTTTATGAATATTTGACCAAAAATTCAACAAATACAGCTTCACAAGCTGTGTATTCACCTCATACGGAGCTATCTGAGTTTTCCTACTTCCACGGTTAAAACTGACGTTTTATAGTCACCGTTTTGAATCTGTTAATACAACAACAAAACATTTGCTGAAAGTCCTGAAAGTATTTCACGAAAATGACTTTAACAAAGGTTTAGGGTATTAATAAAACAACTTTAAGGTATGTGCATTCTAATCGTAATTAATTAATTTCAAGAGAGATGTGATAAATATTGATCAATAAATTGAAATCTTGTGTTTTATAGAATCGTTATCAATACATTTCATCACAGTAGTAAAGAGCATTTAGTTAGTTGCTTTTCCATTAATGCTTTTAGACTACATATGGTTTCAGCATTCTTCTTATAATCTATGCATCATGCTTCTTCTAATAGCTTCTTTTAAGGAGTGTTAAAACTAAAAAATTTTCAAAAAATTGTAATTTTGGATTTTTGCATTTTCAAATTCTCTACACTTTTATCTTTCTAAAAATACCATTCTTTAATCTCTATGAAAATTAGAACTGTGAAAAATTAGTTTTAATTTGTCATCGACTGCTTTGATCAATGAGGATTTTTACATAAAAACGCGTTTTTCTCCAAACGTGGTTTTTTTATACTCGATGTACCTTTTCTCAGGAACATACACACAGGTATCTTAAATTTTCATACTTTATTTATTAGGTTTCCTAATATTTACTGAAATAAGCTTTTTGTGATAAACTAAGGGAAATTTTTTTTAAACTTTTTTGTATGAGAAAAGTGCTAAAATTTTTCTATACCTAACAAAATATTTTGTAAATTACTCTAAAATTCAAAATGTTTCAAAAACTCATTTCAGCATAATCAGATAGGTAAACTTTAATTACATAAAAAAAATGTCAAGCCTGTATCTACAGCAGATTTTGAGAAAAGGTACATCGAAAATGGCCAATTTAACATTGTCGGTATAGGGGTTGCTGATACCCTTTAATCACCCTTTACTAGCATTTTTCAAAAATGCTTATGTTTGAAGAAACTTTAAAACATATATGCTTTTAAGTTTATGTTTAATAAATAAATAATATTTGAAATAATGTTTAAATAATAAATATTTTTAATAATAATGTTTTAAATAATGATTAAATAATAAATGTTGTTAATAGTAATGTTAAATACTAATGTTTTTTTAATAAATTTAATAAATAAATAATAATTTTGTTTGACCTAAAAATAAAAAGCGATTAGTATATTTGAAGTTCCAGATGTCTAGGTTTTGTTTAATCAGGAGGGTTACTGTGCGCTTTGAAATACACACAGCTGTTCAGAGGGAAGCAATATAAAAATGAGGCGTTTTATTATATCCAAGTCTCAGTAACTATTGGCCATTGCACAAGCTAATTTTTTTAGTATTAATTTTTACCACAAATTTTACTATAAATATTATTGCGAAATGTTGGTGAGCTAGCTAAACGGCGGGCTTGGGGTTGCCAAAAATCGGCATCCTAAAATTATAATTTTAATTCTCAAAAGTATTCGTGGCAAAGATATTCATGATAATTATTTTACGTAACATTAGACTAATGCGTTTTTAACTAATTTGTTGGCTGTTTTCGTCAAGCATAGTTGATTTGTTGTTTCTTATTTTGTAAAACGTACAGTAATCTTTCATTTTATCCGAATATTCAGTTATTCAAGGTAGCACTGGTCAGCATTATCTCAGATGACCCTGGTTCTATTTCTTCAGAAGGACGCGAAACCTCTTTTGAATAATGCCCAAGCAATTTGTGAATTAACTATAAAATTATACACTAATAAATTATAAGTAAATCTTATTATTTTCAAATGAAACGCGCGTTTTCCTCCATTCATACATAGAGCGTATTTTTTGATAAATAAATTTGATGTACTGCTATAATACACTTACTTACTGAAAAAAATCATTGCATAAAAAACAGGAGTTTCAATAATGAATACAAACGTATATTCGTAACATATCCATTCTTTTTTTCAGGCCACGTCTCTTAAGAGCCGTTACTTGGTTTATTCTTCTTTCCCTGGTAATGGCATTTATTCTTCGCGTCATGGAGGTGAAATCTCTTAATGTCCAATGCTATTCAAGCAGAGAAAAGATAGACGTTGCTTTCATCCACTAGAGTGCCTCTTCTGTAAGTTGAAAGAGACACTTGCCAATAACAATGAGCCGAAGCTTTTCTTTACGATTGATAGTTTGTGAATTCTGGAGCATCTCATGCCATCTACACGACATATTCGTGACGCACATCATCAGGGATTTACTAAGCGCAAACAGCTTATATCAAATTAGTCCTTTCTAAAAGAAAAAGAAAACGTAGAAATTGTAAACGTATTTCGACATGAATTTTTTACATTGTCATCAAAATAGATCGATGTTCGGTGTGAAGCGCCATTCACACCTTTGATTAAGTATAATTTTTTGACTTTACAAGTGAATTATTAATTTAAAAATTAAATTACAAATTATTTATTTGCAAATTAAATGATTAATTACAAATTAGTGTTAAATTTCAGTTAAATTTATTTCATGAAAGAAGGTCTACATCAGTACTTTATTATCTGAACTAACTGGTAACTTCAAAAAGGTTCTGTTCACTTTTATTAGGCTTAGGTGCGCCATCGTTTCATGAGTAGTATTTATAAAGAGTTATCTTACGGGAAAATATTTCCGAACTCGATCTGTTGCATAAAATACAGATTACATATTCGCACGATGAAATGTATATTTACCGCATATTACAGAAATGCTAATAAACTGTTCATCTCTCTTTAAACATTGATCCCAACTGCAGTGACGGCAATGAGTCATAAGAGTGGCCAGAAAACCCGATGACGTTTTATCATAGCCCTTAATTTCGTATTCAGAATTTACACAGTTGTTACAAAACAGGGCTTTAGTATAAGAATATTTACAGAATTTACTTATAAAGGGGGAAAGAAAAAATAAGCAATTTCACTAAAAAACAAATTGTAATTCGCATGTCTTTGGACTCAGTTATGCAATAAGGTATTTTTCGGCTTGTAAGATAACTCCTTTTAATCTACCTATGAAACAGACGATTAATCGATTTCCATTTTAACTTAAGGTTAGCACTCAAAGAAACACAACGGAAATGAAGTCAAATTAAAAGTATACTTATACTAAAAACGAAGATGGAAAATGTTTTGGCTTATTAACCCATTATCTCATTAATTTCGATCTTTACTGTCGATTCTCCTTCCGTCGGATTCCATCAGGATGCAAATCAGTTAACTTTTCTATAGGACCAAAGTTCTTGAAATGTGCGCGAGTTTGGATGCTGACGGTAAACTTCGTGCTTGTTATCGTCTGCTTATTAAGAATTTATTTTAATACTAGCCCCCGACGCCAGTTAAGTTAGATTGAGAGTATTGTATCTAACAACAAAGAGAACGATACTGCTGTAATCCTTCTCTAATAACGATGCAAAAAAAATATTTATAGTCATACATTTTTTAATCTGATGCGATATGGAAAGTAAATTCTCTCTTATTATATCAGCAACGCATATTATATCACGCAGTTTAATTATTATTTCCAGTTTCGCTTATTATATCACGCAATGTTTTATGATTTTCGTCTTTCTAATCAAAGAGTCGTAAAAGCTCAAGTTCAATCCAATATTTCTCCAACATTCAATTTTCGTCAATTAAATGTGACAATAAATTTATCATAATTGATCAGAAATCAATAACGCGATTCTTTATGCATAGAGATTTTGTAAAAGTTAAAAAATTTTGATTAACAAACAATACGGTTTGAAAGCGAGCAGTGGCAACACTTTTCGAAATACGGCATTTTTATCTCCAGTTATCGTATCTTATCTTTATATCAATGCGCGGGACTGTTGCCACTTGGCAACGACAGTGCGAAAACGCGTGCGAAAATTAGCGTTTTTAGGGGGTTTATCTCGGCTGATTAAAGTTGTACGAAGATGGGAGCTGTCGAAATGGCTTCCCACGAATTTTTGGAATCGGGAATAATGTATTCAATGTTTGGTAATACTATTTCTATTTCATTATAAAACTTAGAAATTTTTTATTAAGGAAATTCTACGATTTGAAAGCGAATAGTGAAACACTCCTCGAAATAGAGAGGATTTTTATCTCCAGTATTCCAGACTGTTGCCACTCGGAAAAATGAGGGCTAAAATTAGCGTTTTCAGAGTTTTTAATTAACATCTCTAATTTTAGCTGTTTTTACTTCTTTTTACGAAATGAAAAGGAAGTATTGTAATCGCGAAAAGTTTCAGGCAGCATATTTCAACGAAAATATCCATTTTGACCGCTATCGAATGCAATTTAACGATGTTTTTGCGTGATATCTGTACGTAGGAACAGAATAAAATACTCTTTTCCTTCAAAAAAATTATAAAACTGCTTTAAAATGAATTCTGAAGAGAGTTTTTCGTGGCGTCTGTACGAACGTACGTACGCACGTACGTATCTCGCATAACTCAAAAACGAGTAGCCTCAGAATGTTGAAATTTTGTATATAGGACTTTTATAACATGTAGATGTGCACCTCGTATTTTGGTTGCAATCGGCCGCACCAAACGTATATAAACATAGTATTTGAATAGAACATGTGGCAACGATTAGATAATTCTATTCATTAAGTGATATAAATTTTGTACATTATGAGTTATAATATTAACGAAATATAATAATACTGTTAAGTGAATCTAGCGCCAGAGTGTCGCTATGGTAAACAAATACTAGAGTGAATTTTAAAGAATGCATTTATTCTACTGTGGTATATGCGCTGTCGGCGAAGTAGATCTAATTCAATCCAATAAGTTTAAATGAAATTCAAGAAAAAATGCGTATAATTTAATATTCCGTACAAGGAAGTCATGTGGTGTACAAATCAGATTTTTTTAAATGTATTATTATTATTATTTTAAGTGGACGTCGGCCTTTTTCCAGAAAAGAATTGTAGAATGTAGAAAGTTTGGTTACGATAGCTATAGTAGTGAGTGTGTTAATAGCGAACAAACACACAGACATTTTTCTTTATATGTATATATAGATAAGTACGTTAGCTTTAAGTAAGTACCAGTTTATTGTTGTTCTAAAACGAATATTCTTAAAAGTGTTATGCATAAGAATGTAGGATTCTTTCGACTTGCTTGGTAAAATTATATGCTGTAAAATAAAATGTTTTTATTTTAGAATAATTTTTTTTATCAAATTCTTCGTGAATCTTGATCTCAAAGGTAGATATTTTAAAGTAGAAAATTTGGTGAATATCCGGATTGCATCTTATAGTGCTGTTTCTCGCCCAGATCTTAGAATTTAGTACATCTGTTTAAGCCTTTGTCTAACCGTGTTGTTAGTGCATTTAAAACTGTGAGTTTAGTTTAGGACCTTGCTCTATGAATTCCCGCGTTAATTACTTAAATTTTAATTTAACATTTTATGTTAGATTAAATCCCTAAAGTAGAAATGATTGATTTTGTAGAAAAAAGTTGTGCATTTGTGTTAATTTATAATAAGATTTATTCCAAACATTTCGGGACCCCCAGTTATCAGGAGTATTTCTCTCGATTTGCTTTGGAAACATGAATGGTCCTGAATAGGAACAGGCAGCTTACTCAAGCTATATTCAGGAAGGTGTGAAATGGACAACACAAGCAGGAAGGGTATACGAAACACTTTTTTTCTATCTTTTACAGGTATTTCCGAAACTTCGGAATACGGAGATCAACCACTCGTGGTCTGAACGTAAGAATATAAAACTACTAACTAAAACTCTGACTAAAATCTAACTTTGAATTAGTATACAAATGCCTAGTACTAAGATTGGCCTTTATTTAAAGAAAGGTACGTATGAAGTACACCGGGCTGTTTAAACTACAATACGTTTGCAAATAACAAGAGGGCTAAGCCTCTGGCCTTAAAGGCAACCAGCAACAGAGTGAAAACTCGTAAAACTACAGTGGCAAGCGGCTTGCTTCCTATAACTCCTTCCTCTCTCGCTTGGCAAAAAGCCACAACTTAAGTACTTGGCGTTAGCAAGACAATTTGTATAAACAAGTTAAAACGTTTAATTCTGGCCAGAAGTAGAAAATAAGAAGTGATAGTACAGTTTTAAAATAAAATAAACGTTAGTAAAACTTAGGATCCTTACACAGTAACCCATAATATTTACAACAATTTTGTGGAACCCCATATGCATTGCTCAAATCCCACACATGCGGGAGTTAAACTGTCACTTTTTTCACTTGTACTGTAATATATATTGCAGTTTTAGGTCATTAACTTTAATTTCTAATTTTAAGACATAGAATAATGTGAAAATTTTAAACAAATAACAGACAAAATGGCAGCGTCACGTGCAAAGCAAGGAAAATGAACGTTTACATTATAAAAACAATGCCTCGAAACGTTTTCGTTTTTTTCTTTGTTTCTGTTGTCTTACCTTTATCTATCTTCAGATACATTGTGTAAAAATATTTGGTTATTGTAAAATCATTACGATAAATTAAAGAACTAAAAAAACAAATTTTTGGTGACTCCCTGCTGCAGGTCTCACGAGCACCTTGGGGTTCGCGACCCACAGTTTAAGAAACCCTGGATTAGAGCCATTAGGTAGTACGGAAAAAGAAAATCAGTTTGTTGAGCACGCTTTTATAATTTATTCTCTTCCTTAAAAATACGTTCATTGCAAGATAAGATCAGAATAAAGCTTTCAGAATGCATTTTGAAGTAATAGAGATTCTTTAGCGATATGCCTACCAAAGTTTTCTCACACATTCACAAACACAGCAGAGTGATTAAAAATATATACTTTTCTTGCAAGCTTAATCATTTTCAATTAAATTATTTTTATTTAAATCATTAAATGAAATTAAAATATTAATATATAAGCTTTATTTAACATTTGGATTGAATCTGCTGTGTTTAGTAGACGTGCTTTATATAATACAAGAGAGGAAGAACTTATTAAAATTAAAATTCGAAATGCATTTAGACACATTTGTAATATCAAAGAATTTGTTTTACCTGAGAGCAAAATAATTATTTACGTGTATGAATATAACGATTACTATTTATAGATAACATGTGCCTTTACCTCCACCAAAAGATGTTGCCTTAGAAATACTAGACATATATTACTTAATTTAAATTTAAGATAAAAAATTTTAATGAATGCAAAACGGTATACTTGCAGTGACATTTTGTATTTGAAAACAAATATGTTAAACGTCATGACCTAGGCGGCAATGTAAATTTAAGTTTTTACTATTTATTACGCCATTGTTTTACTTTTCA